TCCCATGTAATAGGGGGTGAGCCTATTGCCATATACCGGGCACATTTCCAGACTCCATGCTGCTACTGAGATTTTTAAAAACCCAGTAATACTTTGCCCGACCCGGAAATCGAACCCGAGACCCCTTGTCGTACGTAAGTCGTAAGTCGTACTTGCGACAACTCGGCCAACGAGGCAACAAATATACTAACACATTTCCTAATATTTTGAAAATGTATTTAAGTACACATAAACATTACTATTAAAATCCCTGACTGCATTAAGGGCATCCTTTCATTTATAATTACTATTATAAGTATATACATGTCGTGCATGTTTCAATAGTAGGTCCCTGCGTATAGATGATGTCTTACATTTTGATTGATAAAAACATATCCGAACAAAAGCCCAGAGTTACACAACTCAGTAGCCATATTGTGTACTACAACTAATGACATAATAATTGACAACACTACTTATACCCGCTATCTAAAAATAAATATTGACCCATAATTATTATCTTTTTATAACTGAATCAATAAAAGCATTGAAAAGAAAGTTATATTTAGTCAGTCTTTTTATAAATCTGAGAATAGATATAGATTCTGACACTTGGTCATTATTATAGGTAGTTTTGGGGTGAAATCAAAATATTGTACTTGTGATTGTGAGCAAAATACCTAAAGGAAGTAGAAAATTGGACAAAACTTTACAACTTTTTGCATAATTTACATAAGATTTTAAATAGAACTTACTGCCGCATCTTTTGATCTTCATAATCATATCTAGAGGTACTATCACCAATTATTATTTGGGTACCATATAATAGAGAGCGGGTCTATTGCCATATACCAATTTCTGACTATGCAATTTAATGAGAATTATCGAAAAACCGAAAATCCTTAATATAACTTGGCATACCCGGAAGTCAAACCCATCGCGGTTGTGGCCACTCAATCAGCCATTTTGTATTAAGTGTGTAACTTATTTTTAACATTCTTTAATAAAAGAAATGAAAACATGGAAGTCAATGTACAATTCCAACCTCTTTTTACATACATTTTAACTAAACATTGCTACAATGAAAGGCAATGTTTGTCATTCGTCCAAGGTAGTAGCTAGGTATTGTTTACCTAAAGTATAAACCATAATGTATTCTTTACTATATCTTATCCCCTATAATATAATAGTTTTGCTATAAGCTCTACGCCTGGCAGGCTGTTGATTGCGGTATAAAAGGTTCAGGTTTAACAGAGGGGCCTGCTGCCCGACCTCTGTATAGTTTAGTCTCTTAAATGTCTTTATAGGCTCTTATAACAGCAGCATCCGTAGAAAAAACAGGGATATTGACAAATGTAGTCTATTACGCTATTACTAATGACCTCTTTTTATAAGAAAATCTCATTATCTTAATCAAAACTAATAATCATCATCTTATTGTACTCAACTTGATACAAACTCTATAATAGATAAGGTGACAAAATTCCCAAAGCATTACATCGGCTCGGTGGTCGGTACGCGTTTAGCCACCTGCCGCACACCCCGCTATAAATAAATCGACCTTCAGCTTAAAAATAGACGCCGATCCCATCCGAGCGAGGTCGGGAAATTGGGTCACTGGAACAGCTATCTCCTTCACACAGTCACCAAGCTGTACGAGTAACAAGGACGAAGATAGGATCTGCAGCGTTCGTGACGTAGACGAGCTCGTTCATTGAATTTTACAGGCTGAGACGTTCAGCCTTGGTGCATCGCGTTTACTTATTCTTAATTTGTCACGGTTTTATGGGGGTTGATTATAATTTAATTTTAGTGACGAAAATGATTTTATTAGGTAACTTTTGAATTTCAAGTTTATTTTGTTTTATCTCCTTTTAGATACAAATTGATGAATGATGATACTACAACGTTCGGTAATCATCATTCGCAAGTAACGTAAAAAAATGTAACATCAATGGCACCTAAAATAGGATCTAGGGTATTTTAAAAGCTGCTTTCAGGAACAATGCTCTATATATTTAGTTCTGGAAGCAGTGGTGACGTCAAACGCGGGTGTGGCAGAGACTCATGACGTCACGAGGAAGCTCTGACGTCAAACCGAGCCCCCTCTCGCCCCGCTGACACAGCCCTGCACCCCGCACACGAATTGCTTGTACAGCTTTATGGGTATTGTTTCTATGTGATCTCTGCAGCTTGCCTGCAGTTATTAGCTAAACATAGCAATTATTATGAGATAATTTTAATTACCTTAGTAACAGTATTACGTAAATAATGCATGTTGGCAGTGGTTGGGTGCGAAGGGATGAAGATGAGCTCAGTGGCAGAGGCAAGCTGTATTGCACGGTAATAGAATGATGACAGTGCAAAATGATTATTCAGAGTAGTCAACATGACACAGAACCCTTAGGTGTAACACTTAATACAAAATGAAATAGAGAAATTACATATTCATCGTTTGTAATTTTCATATAGTACCAAGTGTGGATTTAAGTAGCCAGTTTTCTTATTGAATTATTGAATAAAAACATGACTATTTGCTTTAGTAGTGTGTTATTAATGAGGCCTACATCTAGCAATGCGTAATGGACTAAAATCGACTGGTAATGATGAATTATTTACATACATAAATAGGCTTTTGTCCCAAGCAGAAACTATAAAGAAACACCTATTATGACCCTGACTTCAGCTATATATCAGTTAAATTAACAATTTTAACTGTTAACGCAGATGCATATCGCGCAGATATTTTATGCAGGTGCATATATAGATGGACTATGAAACAGCCACGTTGGGCGAGTCTCTGACGAGTCGTTGACCTGGCAATCGATGTTTGATTCGTGAGGCAAACACCACTCCACTTGCATAATATTACCTGCATTTTACGTATGTCGTTACTAGCTACCAATTTGGTTATTATCGTTTTAGAAGGTTTTCTAAATAAAATTATCGTAATACAGCTGTATTCTCACGTATTCAATTAAATAGGCCTATTTTTTTCATTTATAAATAGGTATTCAAAGATTTACTATCTACATAATATCACGGCTTTTATTCCTGAAGGGGTAGGCAGAGGTGCACATTATGCCACTGAACAATGTAACACCCACTGCCTGCCTCGTTGGCTGAGTGGTCGCAAGTGTGACTGCCGGGCAAGAGGGGTCTCGGGTTTGATTCCTGGGTCGGGCTTGGGCAAAGTATTACTGGATTTAAAAAAAATCTCAGTAGTAACACGGAGTCTGGAATTGTGGCAATAGCCTCACCCCCTATTACATGGGACTCATAACATAAGTAGTGAAAAGTGGGTTTACTATCTACATTGAAGACAAAATTATTTTGAGATGATCGTTCGTCGAAGAACATATGCTGACAATAGTAATACTAAACAAGATTTCTTGAATAGATTACATTTAAACAATGTAAAATACCTTAGAAAAGAATGATATGAATTAAGCTCAGTGCTATTCAACTTATCTAATCGAAAATTCAATGTTTAAGATTGACACTGACATTGAAATTTTGACAACTTTTATGTCACGTGTGTCACAATGTCATGTGCTTTATTAAAAGGGGAAGTAGGTTCATATTGCAACCAATTACCAAACGAGGGTACTTAGTACCTATTAGTTCTTAGGACCGATTTTTCAATTATAAGTTAATTCTTAGGTGTAGAATAAAATTGACATTGACTTTCAATAGGGAAGAATTGTCAAATATTCAAAGTTATTTTTCTAATAATATTCTATTTTTATTGCCAAACATAATATTATGATTTTTTGAAATGTGACATGCATTTGCTTGTGACATATGTGATAGCGCATGATTGCCTCGTTGGCCGAGTGATCGCAAGTGCGACTGCCGCACGCCGGGCAAGGGGTCTCGGGTTCGATTCCCGCGTCGGGCAAAGTATTACTGGTTTTTTAAAAATCTTAGTAGTAGCACGGAGTCTGGAAATGTTCCCGGTATATGGCAATAGGCTCACCCCCTATTAAATGGGACTCATAACATAAATAGTGAAAAGTGGGTGTTACATTGTACAGTGGCATTAAGTGCCGAAATGTGCACCCCTTCGGGGATAAAAAGGCGTGATGTTATGTTATTTAATAGCGCAATGAATCCTGCATTATCAGTGTTACCAAAGACGTTGACCACTGTACAAAGTCTGAACTTCATACAGTACAGATCTTGAGGCTTTTCATCTGAAAAGTCATACTCTTACTTTGTTTGTGAAGTTGATTACAAATGTACTTTGTTTTAAGGGTATCAAGCGCGCGAGATTGATAGCACATATTGCTAAGGATTTGACCTTTCCCATAACAACCATTAATATGAAAAGGAAATGTCTTTAAGAAATATTGATTTAAAGAACTTTCGCGCCTAATTTCAGCTTTACCTTAAGGGGCATGTTTAATTACCTAATTTATATTTTTTATAATACATTTCAAAAGTCGATCTTGATGTTCTTGGCTATTAAAACAAAGGAAACCAAAGTTCATACAAAAGTTGATCGTGGTCCCATTAAAACGGATGGGAACAGGGATGCGTTTCCAGTACTTTATCAAAGAGGGAACCAAGTGACCTTGGACAGTCACAAAGGAAAATGGATATCTAGACTCTGTAGGTTTATAGGAGACATTTACTTGTAAAAAATATCTGTAAAACTACTTCCTGAACTAATTTAATCACTTTCGTAAGAACTTTATTCAAGTTCGTTTAGAGAATGAAGACATGGACATTTTTACGCGCAACTTTTAACGCTCTTTGACTGTAGCTGGGACGTCATTGTCACATTTTACATTGATTATATGCAGTTCTGCCTATCCCTTCTGGGGCTTAATGTACAAAGTGAATACTTTACAGAATGCAGAATCAAAAATTTTAATACTTATATTTTTAATCAATGTATCATTAGAGAGTTTAAACATGAACAAACATTTATAACAAAACCGATCAAGCTATATGTAAAGGCGACAACGTGCAAACCAATAAGGTAAGCCTTTTGTACGTTACAAAATAAATATTTAGGCACGTTTCGTCTGTAGGGAAGTTTCAAAGCGTGGGCGAGTCTACGGAGCTACGAGCCAGACAGCGCGTAGGCGGCGTAGCATCGTAGCGTAGCGCTCGTAGACCTAATACACGTGCTCACTATGGTAAGCTACGAATAACTTAGAACTTCCCTTGTTTAATACTGCAAGTTCCTGTATTTTTAATTACTTACCTATTCCAAAGTATTGAAGACAGGCGATCCTTATCGAAAATCATGCCAATTTTATCATTATTTAGAAAGTCTTTCTATTACAAAAAACTTAGAAACTTTAACAAACTTTTATCAAACATAAATTTTTGTATCCCGATACAAGACCGCGGGGAGCTACGAGGTGCACGGCTACCGCCATCGCGGCGATCGTCCGTCGACTGCTGCTTTCATCCCGCACAAAATTCCCTTCAGGAGTTAGGCTTGAATGGATCTGCGCTGTGATTGGTCGGGAGCGGGTGACGTCATAACGAAAATCACAACGGTATGACCTCGTGGCCGTGTGTGAGGGTGGTGTATGTGTGTGTGAGTGGAGGCCCATGAATGGGCGCCTGCTGCCGCGCCCGCGGCGCGCCTCTCCAGCCCCCTGACGTCACCAAACGCCAGCCTCTATTATGCAACCCAGCATCTGAAATAGAAGCGAGATGTTATTAATAACTTTCAATGCATTCACATACTTAGGCCGCCCAAGCTTAATTTTCTATTCAGGCTTGAGGTTGTTTTGAATACCACGTTATCACGACGTTCGAGATGTGTACTAGATCGCGTTCTGATGATTGTATAATATGTTTGATTTGTTCAGTTATAAATCATAGCTAAATTTAAGGTCAAATAAAAGTACCTACTAGTTACTTTTATCGAAGAGAAAATTATTGGTACTAATTACATGCAATTTCTGTTTTTTATAAACCTCAATTTTTATGTCTCTTCCTGTAGAAATTCTGAAGCAAAGAAATGAACGTAAACTTTAATTGGAAATTGCTACTTAATTAGTATTTATTACTTTAATATTTATTGGCCTTTAAATATAAGAAAATAAACTACATTATTTCATTAATATTCCTGCTCAAGCTTTTTCATTAACATTAGATAAAAAATTCAAATAATAAATCATACACCTCCATCAAGATTTGACCTTCGAACTTTACCCATAGAGATCTGTTCTTAAAATAGGTTGGATGCGACAGGGTGCGTCCAGTGGGTCGTTGACCGATGCTGGGGGTTGGTCTCCCGCGCCGCTCGCACCCCGCGCCCCCGCAGTGACCCGGTCACGGTGCAACAAGTGGAGGTGTATCGACTCTGCCCGTTTGACATTTAGATGGAAACCTCGGCTAGGCAACCTGAAAATAGATTGGGTACTAGGTGCTCTAACGGTAATGTCATTTTAAAAGGACGGGGTTAAATAAGATTTACTATTTATAGTTGAGTAAATGCAAAATTGCTTATGAGTTCTGACTTTGCATTTCCTTAAAATAAATGCACCTATTTATAGTGTCAAGCTGTTTTTTTTTTAATTTTCCAACACCATATCTGAGCTCTAAACACAAACAGCTTTTTTCTTGATTACAGTTTTGGGATATATAAAGCACAAAATATAGGCGATTAGAAGGTCGTAAACGGGACCGACCTTGAAGCCCAAGGTCGAGTTGTAATCCCGCATTAGGCGAAGCATACTTATTCCCATTTCTAAATAGGAGTAGGAACATAAAGTGGGTGACTATAAGTATACTGCCAGTCTTTGTCAGCCATATAGTAGTGTAAGAGGCTTGATTATACATATTCTTAACCATCTTATATTGTACTTACTTATACTATTATATAAAGTAGTAGTAGAAAGACTGCCTGTTTTGGTTTGTGCTGTAAAGTTATGCATGTGCTTATAAAATAAATAAATACTGAAAGACTACTAAATTTTAAGTTGTACTTAAATATTGTGCCATCTCTGTCCTTTTACAAAGAATTTGTAGTGACAGAACTATGACTATAGTTAAGCGCGACTTCCTATTGACTAGCGTTTGAGTATTTCAGCGTGAGGGACATATTTGATACAAACTAACTAGCATTACTCTCTGATAAACCTAAATCTTTTAGACTGCTATTTCTAATCCACTTGCAAATTAGTGCAAACCCTCTCATAATGTGGCTATAGTTAGAATAGTTAGCATTTTTTTATCAGCGGCTTCTCAGAGGGAGTGTCAGACTCTTACTGACTAAAAACCACCCCGTTTCTTCTCCTGCACTTCGAGCCGGGGCCCCGGTTACCCGTTAGGTTCTCCGCGACTCCGAATCGGCATCGGCCCTGTTGGGCCCTATTTGTGGTGGTCTGATGGCTCTTTGAGGCGCGCGCGGAACGCGAGATCTTCCCGCGATCCCCGACGCCCGGAGAGTCCTTCGCGACGGAGAATAGTTAGCATAACATTGTATTTTTTATGGCATAAGCCCGTAAACGAGCAGACAGATCACCCGATGGTAAGCAATCGTCGCCCATTGACACCTGCACCTGAGGCGTTACAAGTGCGTTACCGGCCTTTGGGGATTAGGAGTCTGAGGATCGTTGGAGATTCAGGGATTGGGGTGATTGGGGAAGAGGAGGTAATTGGGCCTCCGGTAGCCTCACTCACACTTGAAACACAACGTAAGCGTTGCTTCACGTTTTCTGTGACGCCGTGGTATCACTCCGGTCAGCCGGCCCATTCGTTCCGAAGCATAGCTCTCCCACACTTTAGCCCGTAACTAATAAATATAATTTAAAAATAAATATATACTGCATCATGCCAGTAAAGGTTAAAGGTAACATCGAACGCTAATTGAATACTGAAATAATTATGAAGGCTGCGTTGTGTGAAATATCTGTTCAGAATATTGCACAGATAACATTCTCAAGAGTTATTAAATAAAAATAAAAATTAATTTAATGGAAAACGTGTTTATCCGATGCGATGGAGATTAGATTGTTTAAAGTTTATTTATGATCTTGAGACCGATTTTTATTCAAAGCATAGTTGGTTATGCAAACTTTCAAACGCTTGGCTTACCCCGTAACATCAAACCATAAAGTGACTTGCGAAAGTTAATAGAAGCCCGTAGAAAGTCTTTATGAGCATTGAACACACCTTAGTTTAACCATTCGACGAATGAAAATTATGATCTTCTAAAAATATCTCCTGCTGGACCATTCGACCTCCTCTACAATAGAGACTTTTGCCATAATCTCCACAAGTTTTAGAATAAAGGACCCGTCTATCAAAGAGAGAAGGCAAGAGATTAGGCAGCTACTGCAAAATGTATGATCTCTTAGTTGACTCGACACTAGCAGAAAAACCAAGACTACTATATTCTACTTTGACGTCATCAAAACATTTTTTAATAAAATGTCGCAAGTAGCCCAGTGTACCTTTAAATTCAATAAAATTATCCTACTTGAATCCATGAATGAAGTTATAAAGTTATATTTAGAACCTCATTGGTTACGATTTGAGGAATTCAAAATGGTTGCGTAGCTGCCTGGATGCGTAGGAAGTGTACCCTTATTGTCACAAAAAATATGAACCCACAATATGTGACGCAATCCAGGTGTTATACGCGATCACGTCACGTCATCGTTTATTTGAGAATTATTAAATTTAGGAGTTCATGACGTATTACATTTGTTTGAGTCGTTTTCAATAATTCAGTGATATTTTTAAACACTTCCAATCGCGAAGTAAAAGGTCACGATTGTGGTTGTGTACAATACATTACTTAATAAATGTAACAATAAGTCAGATGAATAAGGGATTGATACTGAAGACTCTTTAATGTCGTAAGCTCCACTGTAATGATTTTTTTTGTTCAACTTGTATTAGATAATTTGTAACTAGATCTAACGTCCAGTTCCAAACTTCTTATTATTACTGAAAAATAAGAAATTGTCAATTTCTAAGTATATTTATCATTTAGATCAGATACTAAATCATAACTTAGGTCACACAACGCAATGTCACCAAACACTAAATTCCACTAACAAAATCGATGTAAACCGTTTAAACACGGGGTGTTCTATCATAGTCCAGGGTGAGCCCATTCACCGTCAAGGCAAGTACGTGCGTCACAGGCAACAAGGACATCCTCCCAGCCTTGCAAGTGTGGGCCGTACTATTTGAACGCCCTGTATTTTAGTCTAATAATGGTGTTAAAGTTGAAACCTTCGCGGGTATTTGGTATGGTCTATATTGGAACAGCGTGACTCATCGATTTGCGTGAACAATGAACAATGTGGTGTTAGTTGTCCAAGGCCACGGGTGATGTCTTGCTTGTTTATAGGCATGTTGGGTGCTTGGTGCTGTATGTTGAGCATAGAAAGTGTTTTGTAGTGACATCAGGAACTTAATTTGCTGCTTTGATTATGCTAGAGGACTAGTTGGAAAATCCTATTTACATTCATTCAGAAAGCATTATAGTCCTGTAATTCATCATTCAAATATGTTATTAAAATTATTTTTTGATAATTCTATTTATAAGTCAGAATAGATCATTCATGCGTCACCCGAACGCAGGTGGAACCATGTTCGATTAACAAGTCCGAGCAAGAATGAACGAGTGCGCGTCACCCTGCGTGCTTCGATTCATGAATAGAGGCTTGCAACCCGGGATGACCTAGTTTTGACTCCATAGCCTCATCGCACAACACCATAACGCTGTAACAGCCAAGCTTCCTGCTACGGGATTCTCGTCACTATTTGATTACTTCTTGCAATTGTTATTGCGTGCATGTTAAATTGGAATATATACTTGTTGGGTTCGAAGGTATGGTATGACGTCAGTCGGTGCGGGGAGGGACTGCAGCGGTGGAATTAGGTCAGTTTCATTCTGAAACAGGTTCGGCGAGAACGGGGTGAGGCGAGGCCGAGGGGTGCGGCTCCGGCTCAATCGCGAATTTAGCTGCCACTAATTATTAGGAGACCACTATCAGAGATCTATATTTAGATTACATGCCAATCTGGAACTGATTAAAAGTTTTTAAAGATTGTATTTTTAAGGCTTCCATTTCAACAGGACACTATGAAACAATTTGATTCCAATAGATTCTTGTATCAATAGCCTGCTCTTATTATTTCTTTTGTTTTAAGCATAGAAAAAATACTTTACACTCAATTTCAACCGTATTTACTAGCAACTAGGTCCTATTTGCATCCATCGGTTTCATAAGTTGTAAATCATAAGCACTCGGGATTTAAGATTAACCTAATTTCTGTTAAATCTTTGCTACCTTTACTGCAAGGTACCTACGGGAATACTATGGCTGTTGCACGTAATAATTACTAAATCAATGATGGTAGTCGTAACTATTGTCTCATTAATCGAGCGAGTATCATTACCGCGTTGAGTACTTATGAGGGATCGAAGCGTGTAATTTTGTGATTTTTGTTAAAATTGTCATCCTTAATATTCTCTTCAAACAGTAAGTTTATAGACAATTCATAAAGTTGGAGCTCTATAAAAATAAACAGTGTATATACCTTTGCTGTATGGTTATCACAGTGACTGGGCAATCAGCTGCTATAGGTATCATTTCGATTCCCTCTAGTCCCGAGTCTGGGTGCGATGTAGTGTATGTTTGTAAAGGCACGCACGACACAGGATAAAAAACTTGCATTTTAAAAATAACACACAACATAACATCACGCCTTTTTATCCCCGAAGGGGCAGGCAGAGGTGCACATTTCGGCACTTAATGCCACTGTACAATGTAACACCCACTTTTCACTATTTATGTTATGAGTCCCATGTAATAGGGGGTGAGCCTATTGCCATGTACCGGGCCCATTTCCAGACTCCGTGCTACTACTGAGATTTTAAAAAACCCAAATACTTTACCCGACCCGGGAATCGAACCCGTGACCCCTTGCACGGCAGTCGCACTTGCGACCACACGGCCAACGAAGCAGTCTTAAAAAGCAAGCAAGCTAAGCAGTTTTAAAAATACTAAACAGTATTTATCATGTTGCTATGCAGAGATGCCTAGTAATCAGATTGACCCCTGCTCTATAAGTTTAGCCGTTGACATTTCCCGCTCATCTGCATGTAGTTACACTTTTAAACTGTGTTATCGGGACTTGCAGCTCAATCCGCAGTAATCGAGTTTGTGTCATGGCCGGTCTGACAACAGCACTTCATTAATAGGATTTCGAACAACATAACATTACGTAATGTAAGACATCATCACGCCTTTTATATACAAGGTAGCTACAAGGTATATAATTAAATGTTTCTTCTCAAGTGAATAGTATTCTTATGGCCAGACATGCTCCATCGTCTGCCGCATCATTACTTACCACCAGGCGCTAAACGCTGACTGATCTATTCATTATCATTACCTCGTTACCTCTCGCGTCCGGCCCTAGTGCGGGTCATGATGTGGAGCGAAGGGGACTGGGATGCCGTCTCCTCCTTTTGCGAAGCAGTCATGATAGCTAAGAAGGAGGCGGGACGCGTGAGGCAGCGCTGCCTCCTCGCCATCCAGCCATCACGAAGGACACTCCGGGCGTCGGGGATCACGGGACGATCCCCGGCCACCGTAAGCGCGGGCCTGCGGACGGCGAGCATGGATGGCTCGCCGCCCGAAAGACCGCGCGCGCCTCAAAGAGCTATTAGACCACAACGGATGGGGTCCAATAGGGCTGATGCTGATATGGACCCGCGGAGAACCTAACGGTTTACCGGGGCTCCGGCTCAAAGTGCATGAGTAGGAACGGGGTGGTTTTTAGTCAGTAAGAGTCTGACACTCCCGCCTCACCCAGGCGGGTATGTCATTCGATGATTTCCCCCTTAAAAAAAACAAACATCACGTTTCCGTCAACTGCTGGACATAGGTCTCTCCAATAGCACGCCACTGGACCTTAATATTCAGGTCTATGTGTCCAACCATTGCCAAACACCTTGCTAATAGCGTCACTCCGCCTAACTGAAGGGTGACTTGCACTTTTTTTGAAAGGAGAAAATCACTCAATGACTTCTCCTACCTTGGATGATGCGAAGGGAATGTCAGTGTCAATGACTCTTACTGACTAAAAACCACCACGGTCCTCTGCGAGCTACCCGGGCTCGCTGTCTACAGTCTCGTGCTTAAGGTGGCCGAAGATGGATTTGCGATCCTCTTGCGCTACGATTGCCTATCTAGAAAGTATAAACCGATTCAAGTTTTTAAGAGAATGAATTTGCTGCTGACCGGTAGTCCCTTAGTCAGGTCTAATGGACATGGACACCTATGGCAAAAGCAAAATTGGTGAATAGTGTATCCTGCTCTGCAGATATACTAAACTGCTACACAACAGTGTATTTGTCCCCCCCCTCTAATCCCTGAATCCCTAACAACCCTTAAATCCATTACCCACAAAAGGCTGGCAACGCACTCGAAACGCCTCACTCGGTGTTTCAGGTGTCCATGTTGCTGATTGCTTACCATTAAGTGATCCGTCTGCTCGTTTACCGAATTCTTCTTCTCCCTCGCTTGCTTCATTTCTAAAGGTCGTGCACCTGAAAGGTTTTCATTGCTCTCTGTGTTATTTCCCTCCATCTTGTCCCGTTTTCAGCTTCTCTCAGGGTTTTCGTAACAGTTTACCGAATTATCACTTAAAAAATGTCTTGTCAGTGCAGAAGACTTTAGCAGTAGATTACCTTAGGTAATATAAAAGCCTAGAAACAGCCGCGGCCGCAATATGGCTTCGTGGCTAGGTGACTAGCAACGGCCACATAACAAGGTGGATTAGTATATGCGTAGATACACTACATAATTATAATGAAACTAATTAAAAAACTAAAAATTATATGTACTGTAATTGATTTTTGGGAATAGCATTCATAATGATATCACGTCAATAGTAACACAGAGTTTGGAATTGCTGGAAGTCAGTTCATCCCTATTATAAGGTACTTACACAAACATCAACAGCTTATACGTGGTCACTGCTGACCAAATACCTCTTCTTATACGGAGAAGGTTTAAGAATTAATCGCTACGTTTGCTCAATGCGGGTTTGCAATTTCAACTTAGAAATAATTATAAGCCTAGATTTCTTCATGATGCTTAAACTTATAACACAACTGGTAAAAGGTGTAATAACTATTATGTTGTTTAAAATAACATCTTTCAATTATGAAATAAAAGCTTCATCAAAATATTGTTCACAAACCAATCACTCATCGGTCTGTCCGATCCAATCTATAGGCTTTTAAATCAATTCATCAATTCAGAGCACTCTGCAGCGTCCATTAAATAAAAAATGTTTTACCTGCACTTGTTTTATTTTTTCATCGAGTCCTGTGTGCTGTGACGTCAAAGTGCAATATCCCGAAATAGGTGACCCGGATAGTGTTCCTCTGTGCACGCAGTATAGGAGCGTGACGTCATATCCCTCCCCCTCTCAGACCGCTAGAGTTCCTCTAGGACGCCTTGCTTCAGCTACAATGTTGAAATTCAAAGATCGAACGCGAGCTGCGGGAATATGCATAGAATTTTTTTTTCTGAATTATGTTTTTATTTTTAGTCTTTGGCTTCCTAATTGGTCTGTTGCATGTGTACCTGAATTTTATATCAGTTTTATTTATTCTTAATATGAATACACAAACTCACTGTTACAGAGGACTTATACACGTTGATAACCAAATGTAAATTGTGTACACATCCCTTTTTCTACTGATTGACCATTTATAACTTTCAGTATTACTGGCTAGCTGGCTGTAACATATTTATAACAATTGTACCTATGTATTTATTTCTCCTTTCCCTATACATACATGATTAAATGCAAGATGGAGTCAAAAAATGTGCCCGGCTTATGATAAATGAGTTCTGTATACTAACTGTGTTACTACATTCTTACTTTGGTTTAAGTACATTTCAGCACATAGTCCACCAAATGTACTAATCTCTTGAGAACAAAGCGTGATATTGTAAAGAATAGAAATGAGAGTGCCGCTATCTATTGGCGTAGGTCAGCTACAACGCAGTTTCCAATTCTACCGTAGTTTGCAGCAACAAAGCTTTCAGAAGTGACGTCATGCCTTCAAAATCGTTAACTTAACGTTAGGTGGCGCTGTGGAAGAGATAATTTTGTAACTGTATAAGAATATAATTATGTAAAGTTGTTCAAGTTCTAAATAATCTTTTTAAAAATAAACAAATACAATTCAGGAACAATTTTGTGTACAACGCCATCTATTGTATATTTTCCGAAACGTACTGATCAGGAAAACGATGGGGCGCTGGCGTAACGTTCGCTGCGGTAGAAATAACCACAGGGAGCGCTTCATTACAAAAAGTTCCCCTGTTTTAGTAGAGATAGCAATACTTTTGATTCCTCGCTTACCCTAATTTCACCACCAGATGCAGAAACCATTATGAATTCTCAATTCAGTTAGTTTTTAGCTTTAGTAGATTAAGAAATCGTTTCAAAGATGGCGTCATTGTAAAAATTACCGTGTTTGAGCGCGAAAATCCTTCAGATTTTTTCAATAAATGGTATGAATGGAACAAAGAGTATGGTAATTTATGAATATTACCACTATCATTTCTGAATTAATTTCATGTTGTTGAATGGGAATGAAACTGATTTTATGGATCGTTGTGTTTATTCCATTTTGTGCATTCACGATATGGGCAATGGTCGGTATTGTTTGTTCTTCGAAATCTCTTTCAATGTTTGTATCTTTTTTATGAATCTGCTGAAGCGGTTTACTGTACCTAATGAAAAAAAAATACTGTCTTGTTGGCCGTTGGTCGCAAGTGCGACTGCCGGGCAAGGGAGATCGGTTTGGATTCCTGGGTCGGGAAAAGTATTACTGGGTTTTAAAAAAAATCTCAGTAGTAGCATGGAGTCTGGAATTGTGCCTGGTATATGGCAATAGGCTCACCCCTTATTACCCGGGACTCATAACATAAATAGTGAAAAGTGGGTGTTCCATTGTACAGTAGCAAAATGTGCACCTCTGCCTCCCTTCGGGGATAAAAGGCGTGATGTTATACTATATAATGTTATAAAAAAAATCTTTATCGTTAACGCCATAAACTCTTTCCTTAAACTGAATCTGTAAACCTTTTAAATTGTAAACTAATCGCTTCAGGAAAATTTCTATACTTAATTTAGCTAAAATATTCAAATTACAAATTATCCTGAGGTTGGTAGCTATTGATATTTATTTAGTATTGTATTAATGGCGGCTGGAAGTTAACAAGCTCTCGGCATTATTAACAGAAGCGTGACTTTCGATAGAATTAATTAATTAATATTAATTTTGTTAACTGAGCTGAATTTTGGTTTGTTCGTAATGTGATGTTACTTGTCATGTCTTCGTTTACAATGCGTTTTGACTACTTTACTAATGTTGATAGAAAATTGACTAACACGGTCGTCGAGTAACGTTTTAATGTAGTGAAAATTAACTTGGAATACTGCTTTTTGTAACCTGTATGTCGATATCATGTGTAGTACAAAATACATTTCGAAACTTGTTTAATAATTAAATGCTGTAAGCCTTTGTCTTAAAATAAACGATGCGCTTTCAGTATTTTAT